CGCGGTATTAGTCGATTATTATGAGGTAGTCAGAAATCACTGTAGTTTTAGCCTCATAGCTAGTTTGCACTGAAGCAGTGTTCACAAATATTCATGGCGTGTTAACGTATTGAGGTATATTTTTTCAGATGTGTACCACTCAAAGGAACAGACCCAAAATGCTTTGAAATCAATAGCTGCATTAACAACTGGTTTCATGGGGGGTCTTGTTGGTGCCCCTTTCACTCAAAAGGACTCCATTGCTCGTTTCGCTACCAATAGTCTGCCAACTGCAAATCCTAACCAGGCAAGTCTTTTCTGTCCTACATGCATACCAATGATCTGTAAACACAAAGAAAGAGCATGAATAGTACTGTGCCAATATTCATTTATATCAAATGACAGGCATTATGATAGCTATAATTAGCCCTTTGATTGACTTTGGGTTTAACAGAGGAGAGGAACCAACAGAGTTAAAAAGTCGAGAATGGAAACAGGTGAGTAATTCGTAGATGTAAAAGAGAAAGACACAAAGGTAGAAAGAATAAGAAAAGGTGAGGACTGTGAACGGGATCAAATATGACATACAGTTGGGTCATGGTAGTTTGAAGTCAACTGCCAGTTAATAGACTTTTTTGCCGTATGAGTATACGTTGTCCAGGGTGCAGGGTGACCAGGGTGGGAAATACTGGAGGACTTGAAGTAGAAAATGGAGGAAAAGAAGGAAGATTGAACCAGTTGACAACTTTAAATTAAACTACTATCGCCATCCCTTTTAACTTGTCAATTAAAAATAGACCACATTAATTTCAGTACTCAGCAGGCAAATCCTTGCTATAACATGTATTTGTACGCAATTGTATTTGTAACTGGGGTGGGGGTATTTATTGCCGAAACTAAAAAGGTAGACAAGAATGACTTCAGGCTCTATGAAGACGCAAATATCAGTTAACAGCTATGCATTTAAGTAAAATTGGTATCAATTTCTCCTTTTTTAAATTATTTGAAGCCAATGGCATCAAGTGAGAGCAATTCCAGCGAATAGTTGTGAGGAGAGGCACATAGAGAACCAGAGATTAACGTCAAGAGGGTAATGAGGCTCACTTCATTTCTCTTGTTGGACTGAGTTTGTACAACCTATACTAAATGAGTATCTCACATCCCCAAAATTCAGATTTCTCGAATCCTCCATTGCATTAAAGTAAAAGCCTATAAATAATGTTCAGTGCTCATTGGACGCCATTAGTTTATTAGAAAAAGCCCAGTTTTGTTAAATCAGGTCAATTTTTACAATAGTTGGGAAAGCAAAAGAATATATTTTTGTAAGCTGTGTTCACTCAAGGTAATATAATTTTTAGATGGAGTTGAGTGATAAATGATGCATGACTAATTGCATGACTCTATAGCTCTTTAAGTGGTTCTTTTCACCTATGACCAATGCGTCTGATAAAGAAATCTGTCTTAGTGACTACTTGAAAATAGAAATTGCGGGTGGTAGGTGTGATTTGATGATTGTTCATAATCTTCCACCCTTTCTAGCCCTTATCGACAACGATGAGTCATTTTCTAAGCATTAGACTTTGTTTTGCCTGTCTAATTTTAAATAATGTAGAGTCTCATCAGAGAATTGATAGGAGACATCTTGGAGGAATGGATTCCGTATTAGTTAGTGGGGACATTATCGGTACTATTTCTGAACTATGTAGGGTTAATTAGAGGTTAGAGCAAAAATTTTAATCTTGCAAAAACTTTCGTTGGTCTTCTAAAAACTATTCAGGTTATATAATTAGTCTGATCTTATAGAGAGTATAGTGACGGTAGACAAAATAATTTAACTCCCTTTATTTTTTAGGCCAATACATCATCCTCAGCTGCAGTCGGCGACACAAGTTCAATAGGTGCCTATGACTCCCTAAATAGTTGCAGAGGAATTCTAAACTCACTGATTCACGAAGACGGTCCATCAAGTCCTGGGAGCCTCAGTTCTTTTCCCAGCTCAAGTCGAAAAGAACTGATGATGCGCACTCAGGCAGAAAATCTGGTTCGAAATGTCCTCTTGCATCAAATTAGCAATGCTCTTGAAGAGAGTGAGGCACATTTCAATCGTCCATCTTATTTCTCACCACGACGAAAAACCCTTGTGGGCTTGGAAAGTGAGAGGAATGTTTTGAGAGGATTATTAGGTGGAAATTACAGAAAACAGGTTTCCTTTGAGGGCCGTAAAGAAAGAGGGAAAAGCCTTGAGTAAGTAAGATGCTTGAATGCTCAACGCAGCTCTTGTTTTATTGAATTCCGCATGATCTGTGCATGAATGCTGTCATTGGAATGACTAGATGGCTTATTTTAATAACTTTAAACAAATAGCCTTGAAAATATTATCACACGGACTGTCAGATCAACTATATGCCTTTTTCTGAGTCCATACATGGTGAAGGCTTTTAATCCTTCTTTAGTAGCATACTCATATATAATTGCTGCCCATCGCAAGCTAACTTTTCTCTCTTTTAACTAAATATAGTGATTGTTACTTTCCAAACAGATTTTTAACTTGCGATAAAAAAGCATTTCCTAGATGGCAAATTACGTCCCAGTTCAAGGTGTTCTGGAAAAGCAATAATTGCCATAGCTTGTGTGATTTTAATTGTTTTTTCAGATTGAATTTTAAGCAAATTATGGGCTAAAATGCGTAGAAAATGTAGATTTAAATGACTATGAAAAATCAGGTGACTTACTTGAAGTACAACAATGCAAGTCACATTTTCTTTTCAAATTCACAAAACTTTGTGTAATTTTAAATATTTACAAAACCATCAAAATTAGTTAATTCTTTGAAAATTAAAAGAATCTTTCATGTTCTCCAGTGCTATTTTGATTTTCATTTTAGTACCATTTTACATTAAAGTCCCGTTAAAGTAGAGGAATTGTCCGGTTATTATGCAGAGTTTGACAAACATAATTACATAAATAGATAGAGAGGAAATATGACATTTTTTGCATTAATTTCAAATGTACTTTCAGAATCCCGAAGTTAGAATATCTGATTTGGATCTATCTGGAATGATTGTAGAAGTGATTCCTAGTTTTGACATGCTGAACGTGTTTTACTTTCGAAAGTTTCGAAAATAGCTAATATCAAAGCACCCTGTTCTCGCGAAGAATTGAATCGACTATAATCTTTCATTTACATATTGTTATTGGTTGAACCACGAGGTGTGGTTTCTAAATGGGGTGAAGAGGGGGAGGGCATATTTATTCCAAGTACTTCAATCTTTCTTCATAATACAGAAGTGGCAATTCACCAAAACCGCGGGGGCATAAAGAATACGCATTCAGTGTCCGGATAAATTTTTAAGATTATTCTAGTTTATTAGCTTCATATTTTACGTTTTTCGCCCAGGTGAATGTAGAAACTACCACTTTGAGTGACATGTTACAGCTCTAAAGTGGGGGGGAGGAAGGTTATTTATATCTGGAGACTGGAGATGATTAATTTGCGTCAACAACCATTCAATAATTAGAGAACAATGACGGAAGTGTGTAATGAATGAAAAATAATAAGCTTGTCTAGGGTAAAGAGTGACAATTAGTGTATGTGGGGAATGAAAAAAAAGATGAAAAGTTGATACAATGGGAAAATGCAGGAAATTCGGGGAAAGTGTGTAGCCGAAACGGGGAAATTAAGAGTTTAAAGCATAGTCAAAATTAGGCTAAATCTATTTTAAACAACTTTGAATTTATTCGTACACTCACTTTCATTTAAGATTTAATCTTCTAGACGTACTTGGTTGAATATTACTTATAATGAGTTTAAATTTCTTTTAATAATTTTGTCTTGATGAACTCATGAGAAGTCACCAAAATTTGAATTTATGGTTGATTATTTTCCTTAAATTTACTTTATTGCTACATTTTTATTAATAAATGAAGACATCTGAAGTTTCGAACTGTAAGTTCGTAATGACATTTTCTTGGCCAATCAATTATTAATAATGTGGAAAGTAAAAGTAGGTATATGATCATTAGACGAGGATTTGTCTTGTGCATTTTTTGTAATGCTTAAAATTAAAATTAGACAGTTTTGGTTGTAATACAAATTGCACATATATATATTACTAAATAAATTTTGTTTCTTGAACGGTAAAGATATAAATAAACACAGAGCCAGGTAATTATTATTGAAATATTCACACCTTCATTTCACTTTGTTATGCTTGTGATTAATCAAAATTAAATTGACTTATTTAAGAGCTTTAATAATGAGTAATTAGTCTGGACTTGATGATTAAACAGCAATGCCATTGATTCGATCATCAACGTTATATTTAGTGTATTTCCAAGGATTATTGAGGTTTTATTGGTCCCAGCGTTTTATTTGGGTCTTATTTTTTGCTTAAGTCGATTATCTTTGGTGTTTTTAGTGTAATAGCAGGCAATTGGCCTAAAATGATGATGGGAAAATGCATATGCATTCAAAGTAATTTGAGAGGTTAGATTCTTGATTTCTGTCGAGGTGTATTCATAGAAAACGAAATTGAACTCTTATTCCACTTTATCTATTAGGTTGGCAACTAAGTCATTGCCGTTTTTGTTGACAGATTCACTCTATACTTTCTTTTGTTTTGTTAACGTGGCCAGAGCATCTAACCTGCGTGGACAGAGCATCTAACCTATATTTCTTTCTTACTGTAACTTCTAGGTTAATTAGTAAAAAATATTTTGTTTAGTTCTTCAGTTTTGTTTTTATCCCAATTTAAAAATGAAAGAACAGGACGTGCACTTCCGACACATTTTATTGTATTACTTCCGAAAAGGCAAGAACGCATCGCAAGCACAAAAGAAGTTATGTGCCGTATATGGAGATGAAGCCTTAAAAGAAAGGCAGTGTCGAAATTGGTTTGAAAGATTTCGTTCCGGTGATTTTTCACTGAAAAATTCACAACGATCTGGTCGCCCAGTCGAAGTGGATGAAACCCACATCAAGGCCATTATCGATTCAAATCGTCACAGCACAACACGAGATATTGCAGTGAAGCTCAATGTGTCGCATACATGCATTGAAAAAAAATTACAAACCCTTGGTTATGTCAAGAAACTTGATTTATGGATCCCTCACCAGTTAAAGGAAATTCATTTGACGCAACGGATTAGCATCTGTGATTCGCTACTGAAACGCAATGAGAATGATCCATTTCTGAAGAACCTAGTTGCTGGCAACGAAAATTAGATAGTTTATAACAATTTTACTCGCTAGAGATCATGGGTGAAGCAAGATCAACCAGCCCAAACAGTATCAAAAGCAGAGATTCACCAAAAAAGATTATGCTGTCAGTCTGGTGGGATCACAAAGGAATTTTGTATTTTGAACTCATGCCGCAGAACCAAACGATAAATTCAAATGTGTATGTTGAAGAACTCGAAAAACTGAAGGATGCAATTGAAGATAAGCGGCCGGCATTATCAAATCGGCGGAAGGGTGTTGTTTTCCATCATGATAACGCAAGGCCCCACACATCTTTGGTCACTCGGCAAAAATTATTGGAACTGAGTTGGGATGTTTTGTCACACCCACCATATAGCCCTGACCTTGCGCCTTCGGATTCTCATTTGTTTCGTTCCATGCAGAACTCTTTAAATGGTAAAATTTTTAACAACGCGGATGATGTCGGATCACACCTAATTCAGTTTTTTAATAGCAAAGACCAGACATTTTACGAAGGGGGAATTTTTACTCTGCCAGAACGATGGAAAAAGGTCATCGACAAGAAC